GTTTCCAAGTTGAGCCATGCTGGCTCAGGAATTCTGGGAGTTGAAGTCCACGAGTCATGAAGGGGCTAAACTTTTCCCCATGCTGGCTGAGGAATTCTGGGAGTTGAAGTCCACGAGTCATAAAAGAGCCAAGGTTGCCTACCCCTGCCCTAAACCATGGCTGGGTTTAAGCAACACTTTAAGTTGAAGCCAAGACACCCCTGCATGGCTTCTGAATGTAGTCTGTTACTACATTTGCCTAGATCCAATCCACTTTGTTTTAGTTTCTAATGGCCCCATTACCTGTTTGCTCATCACTTGATTTTCTAGGAGACAACGTGTGAAATATAAATACATGAGCCTGCCAAGAGTTTCACATAAATTGAGGATTTCTCATTAATCTGAGTGTTGAGGAATTTTCTATACAACTCTTTATGAATGAGGATACTTTTCCAGTGCTGAAACTAGTAGAAGACAATCAGGTTTTATTGTACTGGGATCCATTCATAAATTGAAAACATTCAGAACTTTGCATTGCCATGATTTCCTGGTTGGTTCAGGTCTTTAGGACTGTAAACCAAATTCAAATATTCTGGATTAACAAGAAAGTACTGCATTCCTTTTTTAATAGTATACTCATGAGGAAAATATCTGATAGAAAATAAGTAACTGACAGATCAGTGATTTCATCCAATTTGTAGAGGATTGATTTATGGTTTGGTAATCTCAAGGAAAGCAATTTAATTTAGCTAAAGTCAATTGAAAGAAAGCTCTGTGCCCTACTATACCACAAATATTAACAAATTTAATAGCAACCCTCTTTTCCCAAAGTTACTCTATTGAGTCTAAGGTAGAGAAAGACAATTTTGAACACTCAAAATGCATTATAATTCTCAGCATTCTTGATGGGAAGGCATAAATTAAATTGGCATTAAGTCAATAAAACTCAGCAGTATAGCTAGGCCTGTTGGGGAAAGACAGTTATATTCAAACTTTAAAAAGTAAAAATTAGAGTCATGGCTTAGATATAAGCTCCCATTGCATCAATGGAGTCTTTATGTTACTCACAATTTCACAGGACCACAATCATTCCATTAATAAAAAGGTGAGGGTCAAGTTAAAAACCTTCATGTCATATCTCTCCCTCTCAAATTTCTCTATTAGCTTACACTGCAGCCTTGTCAAATTTATCTTCACAATGCAGAGTTATTCCGCAATAAAAAAGCTGACAATTAAAAAAAGCACTTGCAATGAAAGCCGGAACATATATTAATGGTTCTCTATTGTGGGATATATTGCAAGAATGTTTTTACGCCACTGATCATTACAAAAAGAAGGACTAGATAATTTGAATTAAAATAACAAGATACAACAAAACCTTTAAAAGAGTAAGAAATCAAATCTGAATAACATGAAGGAGTCCAGTCCCAAGGGACCCCAGTTCTACTTCCCATAGAATCCAATGGGACAGCAATCACCTTGGATGGAAGTCTTTCCATGGTTTCCATCTCTACAGAGTTTGACCTGATTTGAACTTTATTGACCTTCCTGTTGTGACCCACTGAAAATGCGGACCTTTTGTGATCAAACCGCCAGCACAGAAAACCACGAAAACACACTCTAAAACTGGAGAACTCCCACCAACATGGTGGAAGGTCCTCAAACATCTTCTCCATGTTCACTGATGGAGACAGTATGTATTTTAATGGTGGGTATTTGCTGGTCCTTTGGGTTTTCTCCTGATGTGCTTGCACAGCAGCACTCTCTCAGGAAACCTTTGCTTTTCACTTTGGCCCTAGAACAGCTGGACCTCTCTTTCGGAGCACTGCTCTTGGTCGACATGCTTTGCACGGCTGAAAAAAGTTTCCACTCACACACGCCATCCGATTTGGAAATTTTGTAGAAGTGTTCTCCAGAGCCAACAGGTACACGTACGATATCTTTGGGAGCTTCAGCAACGTGGTTGCTTGGTTGATTGAGAGTGAAGCTCAAGGAGTATTTGTTGGAGGAATACTTCCTGCGGAGACACTGGGCTCTTAGGACATTTTGGAATGCTTTTTTAAACTCTTGACTCGAACAAGGGTAAATGATGGGGTTGATGCAGCTGTTTAGATAGCCAAGCCAAAAGGCAATTTTAAAAATGGTATCGGAGGGCTTGCTGTCAGGAAAGAAAGCACCTGAAATGGAAACAAAAGCAAAAAGAAAAGAAAAGAATGTTAATGGATTTATAAGCAACTTTAGAGGATCAAGGGGTAAGAAATCAAAGTGATTTCCCCCCCCCCCCAAATTTCTAATTGTGAGTCATTATGAGTCGTCATTCTGGACAAAAAAAAAATGTATGTGGAGTCCTTGGTGGTTTCTGAGCTTGGTTGTTTGGTTGCCAACATTTCATTACCTGACAATGTAATATCATTAGTATACGCTGCGTCTTAGCTAGGTGAGTAGTGTGCAGTGATGATGTTTCTTAGTTGGGTAGTGAAATATCTTCAAGAAAACAATCAAACTCAGTTAGCACTGATGATATTACCTAGCACTGATGATATTACCTAGTTTAGGTAATGAAACATCTGCCAGAAAACAACCAGGCTCTTGAGAGCACCAAGGATCCCTCATTTCAAGCTTGAGCTATGAATATTCTCCTTTATTAGTAATAAGCCCTTGGATTTATGGGAGTCAATTCTGAGCAAACTTGCACGGAATTGTGTTGTAGAGACAGGTTTTATTTCAGAGCATCACTTTTCCTTTAAAATCTACCCGGTGCTACCTTCCCTGTGTGATGTATCTGCACACCTATCAGAAGAACTTCCAAGAGACTTGGAAGGAGAACGTGAATATGAGTTCAAAAGAAGCTGAATTGGCTGGAAGTAATTTTAGATGAACAGTACATGACCTGCTTATCTGCTTACAGGCAGGTTGTGGTTCTGAACTGCTGCCCAATTGCATGAATCATTTCCAACATCTGATCTGTGAGACTGGGATGACAGTGATGGAGGATCAAGCTTTGCAGGTGATCCATTGGGTTGCTAGTGGGAGGGGAACATAAAGCAGCGTAGCACTATCAATCAACCTGGCTAAGATTGCTTATGTTGAGACACTGGTGTGAAGAGAAACATAGGTGCTAATCCCCACATCTTAACTTGTCCTGCAATAAATGACTGGTACCAACCAGAATTTTGTTACTGAGGCTATTCAGGTGAAGCAAATATTTCAGAAACATCTCATAGACTGGAGGAAAAGATGTTAAAATGGCCTTTTGGATCATTCAGACTAGATGTGTCCTAAGTAGTAGACGTAGAATAACATTTATCAAACATAATATACAAGCAGAGAAATACATTTGCAGAGCACAGCAATAATGGCCAGATAGATCTACCGCTATAATTATTTTGCTTAACACTGAGCTTTAATGTCTCTTCATATCTCAAATGCACAGGTCTGATATTGAAATCAATAGCTGAATTATTAGACTTTTCATTAGCTTAAAGTGAATAGAAAGTGAAATGGGGAAAACAGGAAGGCCAGGTTTTGGAGAGGCCAGATAGTCTGAAGTTGTTAAAGGTAAAGAGCATCTTCAGGATTCAGGAAACTGAGATAATAACTATTTACAGTTGTTTTTGCAAAAAAAGTGGTTAACGCTTATAGTAATTAAACTAAATACAAAGTTAAGAGGCATTCGGTAAGGCAGCTTTTAAAAGGCTATTGTTTTCGTGCAGTTTAATTGACTATTCAGTTTGAGCATTAATGGTAAATTTCAGCATTGTACGATGACATTCCCAAATGCTTCAAGTTTAAATCAGCATACAGTATAGGACACTTTAGAGAGTTCCTAATGGAATTTAATAATCATTCCTAATTTCAGCCCCCTTTTAAAAAGACTCTAAGGAACATCTGCAAACCTATTTTCATCTTTCCATTCTATGCTGTACAAACTGGACTTCTTAATCAGTTTCTTTCTATGAAACTCATAGAAATTGGTTGCTGGTAGCTTGCCAAAATAAACAGAAACGTGGTGAATTAATTTCATCTAGGTCTTGAAATGCTGGATTGCTTTCCTCTATTAAACAGGCCAAGAGGTAATATTTCAAGAACTTGGTAAGAGACAGTGGGATTTAGGGAGTTGCTATTCGGCAACATCTGGAACAGCTCAGGTGGCTGAATTAGGGATTTAAAGAGTAAAATTATCATTCTTAATAGGATCCAGAAACAGATGGGAAATCAATGAAGATAGTTTGGAGAATTGATCCCCTGCTGTCTTGGAGTCATCAACTGGATGTTATATTTTGCATCAGAATACGTTTTTATTTATTTATTTTTCAAATCCCACAAGTTATTTATTTTGTCATGTATCTGTCCAAGGTTTCTTACCCATCTTTATGCAAAAGTCTTCAGGCGATCTCTTTAACAACTCTATTAAAGCAAGACTAGAACAGAAACATACTATTATAAAATAGCAAAATCACAATTGGGATAGTTCACCATGACCGTTCATGGTTTAATGATATGCTTAAACTGATCAGAGGCCCAGTGGCTGCCTTTAGGCTTAATTTTAACCTTGGTAAGTTTTTTTGTGGCTTAGTAATGGTGTGTGAGCCCAAACTGTTCAGTTAATTCATGATTTAATGTTTGTAAAGGTAGAAAAAATGTGCTAATTCAGTAACCAAGTAGATTGCATTAATCCAGCATCAACACCAAGATATTAGGGGAATGTTGATTAGCCATGCAATCTGGAAACTTTTTAGCCTGAATGCTGAGAGCAAAACTTGGGTCTTCGCCTAAGCAAAGTATGGTCTTCTCCATGGAATTTATCCCCCTCCCAAAACACTTTTAAAATACTGTTATATTATCTTCGTTTCTGCCTGAGTTTGCATTGAGTGCTCAAGGGCAGCTTTTAACTCCAACACTGAAAGAAGTAATTATAATGTGGAAAGCAAAATGGCAATGAGCCAAGGCCGTCTTTCAGATTCTCTAGCAGGGGTGGGTGGGTGGGTAGGAAAGATATGTAGAGGTAAAGTAACTTGGATCAGAAAAATGGTTGCAGCTTGTTCTTAACACAAAATTAGCAATCTGTCACCCCCTCCCTTAATAACAGTGCCATTCTATCTTCATGTAACTAAAGACTAAGCTGACAGGTGTATCAAACATTTTGATTACATCTTTGAAAAAGAGAGAGTGCACTTTGGATAATTTGCATCTTGTAAAACACGATTATTGCAGCATTTTCCAAAGTGGGATCTTTCATGTGCTATGGAGTAAAGCTCCCACCATCCTTGAATGTCTTTAAATAGAATAGAATACTTTATTTGGCAGGTGTGATTAGACACACAAGGAATTTGTCTCCGGCACATAAGCTCTCAGTGTGTGTACAAAATAACAAAGAAGTAATAATCATAATAATGATACCAATAAGAGAAGATAGTAGAAAAGATGAGGATAATAGTAATACAGTCATACTACATGGGTAAATATGCTTATACATAAAACAGTATGTCTTGTGTCTAAATATATTAATATATAATATTAAGTATATTAAGATACTTCAGTAGTGACATATGTGGGCTCATACTTTCACATCAATGCCCTGACTTGCATACCTGTGTCAAATATGCATGTGCAGGATTATGGTAATTGTATTATGAAGTTAGCACATATGTGTGTCATTTTATTTATTAGATTTCTATGCTGCCTATCTCATCTAGAGGCGACATTTGATATTATTAGGGTTTGTTCCAGAAGCCATTGTCACCATCATCAACAAGAAATAGTGATTATTGTAACCTGGAGGTTACAAACACCATCAGGCAAAGTTGGAATATGCTTATTTCAGATGATCAGCTACTTAAGTGTCATAACTGGATTATATTTGAGAAGGTTCATCCAATCAATATTTTCCTTTTTAACAATCTATTTAGTTTCTACACCGGTTACACTTTGTACAACTCTTCTGTTTCTGTCTTGGCCTTTTCTGATACATTTTGATTAATATGCCAGATGATTTTCTCTTATTCTAAACTATAAACTTAGTTTATAGTCTCTTAGTCAGAAGTCCTGTGTGAATAATCAGACCAAAGATAACTGATTTAAATCAATTCAGAACATTAATTCAATTTCGTTTGGATATTCCAATTGAAAGATTTATATTTCCAAAACATTTTGGAATGTAGATATTTCTACACACGTAGACTCTCATCCAAATTGTCTAATTCAATGTAAAAATATTTGATTCAACATTTTGAATCACCTTCATTTTCAGATTGAATCTCAGAACTGAGATACACATAACTCCTAGTGTATCCTTCAACAGGTATTACTTAATATTATTAGTCCCTGAATTAAAATAATCCTTAAGATATGGCTATTTGCCAATATTGTTATTTGTAATTTTTTTCAGCAGTGTACACACTGATTGCTAGATAGATTTTGCAAATATTCTGCCATTTAGACAGAATATTGAGTATGTGGAAATGTAAAGGTTAAATGTTCTTTAACTGAAATACCTCTAGGTAGTCCTGTTTTCAAAAACTTGAAGTTTTTTTAAATATTACCTGCATTGACGATGTCCCAGGTGAACCTAGGATTTTTTTATAAATGTAATGCATGTAAGCTAGCACTTCATGATTGGATTTTGATGTTGATATCCAGAAATTTTAATTATCATATTATTCAATAAGAAAATAACTTCTGAACATCAGAGAAACATTCCAAATCCATGCATCAAATCAAACCTACTTTCAAAAAATTGCTACAAGAACATTCAGTACAGTCTGTTGTTCTGCTTCAGTTTTAAAAATTGATACTTTATTAAAAAAAAAGAAGAAACAGGCCTATCACAAAATGAACCACAAACCTCCAATGTTGTCATCCCTTTATGAAATATGGTTAGATGTCACATGGGGCATCCTTAGAAAATAAGATAAAAACAATGGGGGTATGCTATTTGACTAGCGTTACCCTCTAAGAAAGGAAGGTAAAGTTGGACAGTTGAGCAATTTTGGAAAAACGGGATATAGAAAGTTGGGAGGAAACTCAATAGGTTGTCTTCTTAAAAATGGGTCTTTTAAGACTAGCAATGCTTACCACAATAGCCATTTTGTGAATCAGTGAATCATTTTCTCCTAGGGGATAATTTCTGATATGTTCTGATATGTTCAAAAAGGCTTGACACCCTCCTTTCAATAGT